AACATGATGAAGTGCAACAAGGGCAAGTGTCGAGTGCTGCACCTGGGGAGGTCGAACCCCATGCACCAGTACAGGCCGGGGGCTGACCTGCTGGAAAGCAGCTCTGCTGAGAGGGACCTGGCAGTCCTGGTGGACGACAAGCTGACCATGAGCCAGCAGGGTGCCCTGGTGGCCAAGAAGGCCAGTGGTATCCTGGGGTGCATGAAGAGGAGCGTGGCCAGCAGGGCGAGGGAGGTTCTCCTCCCCCTCTACTCTGCCCTAGTGAGACCCCACCTGGAGCACTGGGTCCAGTTCTGGGATCCCCAGTTCAAGAAAGATGAGGAACTCCTAGAGAGAATCTAGAGGAGGGCTATAAAGGTGATGAGGGGACTGGAGCATCTCCCCTACGAGGAAAGGCTGAGAGAGCTGGACTTTTTTAGCTTGGAAAAGAGAAGACTGAGAGGGGATCTCATTAACGCTTACAAATATCTTAAGGGTGGATGTCACGAGGATGGAGCCAGACTCTTCGCAGTGGTGCCCAGCTCCAGGACAAGGGGCCATGGGCACAAACTGAAGCAGAAGAGGTTCCAGTTGAACACGAGGAAGAACTTCTTTACCTTGAGGGTGACAGAGCACTGGAACAGGCTGCCCAGGGGGGTTGTGGAGTCTCCTTTGGAGATATTCAAAGCCTGCCTGGATGATGTCCTGTGCAACCTGCTCTGGGTGAGCCTGCTTTAGCAGGGGGGTTGGGCTGGGTGATCTCCTGAGGTCCCTTCCAACCCCTGCCATTCTGGAATTCTGTGATCTAATCCTGTAACATTTGGGACATGGGCAAGGGGGATCAAGCTTAATTTGACTGAGTACTTGCCTTCAAGCTCTTTCCAGAGCACAGTAACTGAAGGTGGCAGCAGCCAGAGCTACAACTCAGATCTGTGTGAGGAGGAGTGGGGAAATGAGATGTGAGGAATGGCTTGATGTGCAAATAATGGGCCCTTCCGATGTTAGAAGGATATGAACATTGGCTGAAAATCACTCTAACAAACATGGAGTTGCAAGCAAATTTGGAAATGAGGCTTTATTTAATATTTTTAAATTGATACGGGTAGCTTATAGTCCCAGCTAGTAGAGTCGGGTGATTGGTACATGGAAAAAACAAGTTTTTTTTGTTTGAGAATTAAGGATTTGGAAACCAAATAGGTCAGAGAGCTAGAAGTATAGTCTGCTTCACTGCAACTCTTCAAAAGGGATGAGTGTACGTATTCTTTTGTACTAATAGGAGAACACAAAAGCAGGTGCAGGTGTGGGGTTTAGTTTTAACCCGCACTCAATTCAATAGCAAAATATTTCCATGATCTTTTTTTTTTTTACACATGCTCAAGTATTATTTTAAAATATAAAATGCTGTCTGTGGGGGTATGCGTTCACATACATGCACAATGTAGGTGTTTTAAATTGTTGGAGGAACTTGGTGTGTGTTTGCTCCACCTGTGTTCTGTTTTGTGTTTGTATCCTTTCTTGGGTGTGTTTTCTGGGCATAGAGATGATAATCTCTAAATGTCACAGTGTACAAGAGTTGTACTATTTTTGCATTTGTCCTCCTTGCTGGTTGCTTTAAATTGTTGGACTTGTCCAATCTACCTTTATTGCAGGTCAAGATTTCTAACTTCTCAAGTCGAAAGAAAGAAAAGTAACATGTACATACTATGAATGCTTAATTCTAAAATATTACTGCTTCCTGTCACTGAGAGACAAGTAGGATTCTGAAGTGCAAGCTGTATTTACTTTTTTGCCAAATGCTACTGAGGGTTAATTCCCGGACGTGAAGTCTAGCTGGCTTCTCTGGCATTAGGGGTTGTGCTCCCTCTCTTCCTCCCCAAACCTTGGTTACCTTTAGCTGTTTCTGAATTGAGTAATTTTCCAGCTGTCCCTTAACTTCTGGGGGCATGTTCTCTTCTTGTAGTACGTGAAAGTAGTTGTAAACATCTCTGTGCTGCTCTGTTTGTCAGGTATCCAGTGTTACATTTTGTTGTGTGTTTGTTTGAACCTTTTTCCCTTGGGAGAAAGGATTATAACGCAGCTTGCCAAGCTGCTTTAGTACTGAAGTGTAATGTGATATTAAGCTATCTGAATATACTTGAATGAAAGATTTGTTCTGTTGCTTTCCTGTTGACAGTTACATGCAGTTCAACCACAATTTGATTGACTTATGCTTTGTTGCAGGAAAAAACTAAATTCCAGGCACTGTTTTAATCAATGACTTTAATCACCATGATTAAACCTCTTTTGTGTGTCTTTTTTTTTTTTTTTTTCTAGTACAGAGCAGTATTCAGAGGTTCCAAGAGAAGTTTTTTATCTTTGCTTTAACACCTCAGCAGGTCAGAGAAATCTGTATTTCCAGGTAAGAAGTAAGAGTGTGGCCTATAGCATAGGTAAACTTTTGCAAAATTTCAGGAGAAAGTGTGGGGGGTTTGGTTCATTTTATGCATCGTGTAAGCTTGCAGATGCAGGGTAATAATCCTCACTGAAGTTATTCTGAGCTTATGTGCAGTTGGGGTAAATCCTACGCCACTAAAGAGTTAACAATTACTTGGTTCCAAATAATTGTGACTATTTAGAGAGGTGGTAAGCTTTTCTTCCCTGCACATTTCCTGACTGCAGGAATGGAAGGCTACTTTTGTCCCAGGGTTCATGTTGTTGCAAGACCTGTGGTGGAAGCCAAGAGAATTCATAGGATTTTCTCCTCTCTGGCAACATCATATTTTGTTGTTACTATGAACTCTCAACAGAGGATCATGATCCTAAAGTCCTGCTTAACTTGCAGTGGCTAGACAGAGGTGTCACTGATAAGATTTGTTCAGTAAAAGAAAAATAAGAGCGAAGTGTAGTGATGTTGGGACAAGTGTGCCAGTTCTTCCTGCATATGACTGGAATATGAGATCTTCTGTCTAAATGGGTACTTCTCTTTTTCTTTCTTTTTGTCACAGGGACTTCTTGCCAGGGGGCAGGAGAGATTACACAGTCCAAGTTCAGCTAAGGTACCTTTTTCATAGTTTTCTCTTATAACTTCTTAATTGGCTCATGTACCATAAGCCTAGATGTTGGTGGGGATGTATGAATGTGGTGACACTGACTTGAAAATGATGCTTTTCTCTTTTTGGGGATATAGGTTATGCCTAGCAGAGACAAGCTGCCCTCAAGAAGATAATTACCCTAATAGTTTGTGTATTAAAGTAAATGGGAAGCTGTTTCCTTTGCCGGTAAGCTTGTTTGTACATATTTGTGGCTTCTTTGTGACTTGTGGGAGGGGGGTGTGTGTGTTCTGTAATGTCAGCTTGCTAAAACAATCAAGTTGGTTATTGTTACCACTCAAATTTCTCCTAGTTATTAATGTTAGGCATGTAGTTTGTACCTTTGCTGTGTGGGAGCCATTAGTACTATTAATCATGTTACAGTCACTGCATGGATTAATTGTATGTTAGCCACAGATAGCAAACCTCCTCTGTTGCAGTTAACAACCAAATGTGTGGTGGGTTGACCCTGGCTGGATGCCAGGTGCCCACCAAGCCGCTGTCTCGCTCACCCTCCTCAGCTGGACAGGGGAGAGAAAATATAACGAAAGGCTCGTTGGTCGAGATAAGAACAGGGCGATCACTCGCCAGTTACCGTCACGGGCAAAACAGACTTGACTTGGGGAAATCCAATTTAGTTTATTACCAATCAAATTAGAGTAGGATAATGAGAAATAAAAACTAAATCTTAAAGCACCTTCCCCCCCACTCCTGCCTTATTCCTGGGCTCAACTTCACTCATGATTTTCTCTCACGCAGTCCCTCAGGAGCAGACGGCTCCAGCCTGGGTCCCCACGGGGTCACCAGCCCGGCCAGCAAACCTGCCCCAGCCTGGGCTCCTCTCCCCACGGGGCCACAGCCCCTGCCAGGAGCCTGCTCCAGCGCGGGCTTCCCACGGGGTCACAGCCTCCTTTGGGCACCCCCCTGCTCTGGCCTGGGGTCCTCCCCGGGCTGCAGGAGGGGATCTGCTTCCCCGTGGGGTCCCTGGGCTGCAGGGGCACAGCCTGCCCCACCATGGGCTGCACCCGGGGCTGGGGGGAATCTCTGCTCCGGTGCCTGGAGCCCCTCCTGCCCTCCTGCTGCACCCACCTGGGGGGCTGCAGGGCTGCTCCTCTCACGCCCTCCAGCTGCAAATGCCCGCGTGTTTTCTTTTTTCCCCTTTTCTTAAGTACATTATCCCTTGACTACTACTTGACTGCTAGTAGCCATCGCTGTTTGGGCTATCTGTATTTGTGGTTGGCTTGAGTTCCTTCTTGTTATGGGGGAATGGTATCACCTTCTTGTGTACAAGTCTATGCTGCTCTGCATCTGTCTGCTTAGAGCAGAATTCATTGCGGGGATGAAGAACAGACACGTTTTAGCATTCCTAGCATTTGCAGATACTGGAACAGAACAGTGTTGGCAGTCACATGTGTTGCTGGTGTCTGATGCTGCAGAAGTTAGTATGCAGGTAGGGTCACCTCAAGGCTTGAATATATACGAAAAAGGAAAAGCCCTCCAATTATTCTTGAAAAATCTCTAGGATAGGTATCTCTGTACAGTAAAACAGAGATGAACTCTTTGCAACCCATTCTGAAATGGTTCTGGAAGCTTCAGAAGATGGAAAAAGTAGTGTACAGAGGGTTGGGGTTTTTTCCAGCGGTGGCTTTGGAAAAATGTTGTGCGGAGAGAGGAAGTGTGAAACCTTTTTTTCAGAGTATTTGTCAGCTTCCTGATGTCCTGTACCCTTCCTCCTGCCATATGCAACCATGACTGCTTTTTTTGGCTTCTACTTGGCTTAAATGAGACTCTCTAGCTTCTCTTCCCCCTTTTTCTTTAACCACTCAAAAATTCTAGCTGTCTTCAGTAAGAGGATTTTCTGGTCAGCATTTTATGCAAATGCCAGTTACTTTCTTTGTGACAAACCTTAGGATTTCATCCTTTCTTCTTCTGCAGATTGTCTTCCTTTCTTTAAGCTGCCCACCAAAAAGAATTGGGTCTGATGTTATCCTGTGGACATCAGTGTCTGCTGGTTCTCAGCCTTGCTAATACGGTGTACACCTTGCTATGCTGTGTTACGCTATCCATCTTCTGTGTAGCATATGTCACAGTCGTAGCAAAACTTGTTTGTAATCTTGGATTATTGTTTTGCTTTAGATCTAAATCCCATAGGTTCTTCCTGCACATTGTAAGATGATTCTTTAATCTGTTCAGCAGAAACTTTAGGTGAGAAAGTGAATAGAATCACAGACTCATTTAGGTTGGAAAAGACCCTTAAGATCACCAAGCCCAACCGTTCCCCTAACCCTGCCATCCCACCACTAAACCCTGGCCCTAAGCACCTCGTCTGCCCAGCTTTTAAATCCCTCCAAGGGTGGGGACTCAGCCCCTTCCAGGGCTTGACAGACCTTTTGGGGAAGACATTTTTCCCCATGTCTGACCTAACCCTACCCTGGCACAGCTTGAGGCTGTTTCCCCTCCCCTGTTGTCCGTCACCAGGGAGAAGAGGCCGACCCCCACCTCACTACAGCCTCCTGTCAGGCAGTTGTAGAGGGCGATAAGGTCTCCTCTCAGCCTCCTCTTCTCCAGACTGAACAACCCCAGTTCCCTCAGCTGCTCCTCCTAAGACTTGTGCTCCAGACCCCTGGTGACTATTGTCTTGGCAACTTCCTTTCCTCCTTCAATATGAGCTGAATGGCAAATACAGTCTCAGTCTGAGTGTTCCTGCAAACATGTTTTTTGTTGATTTGGTCACTGTCTGCATCCCTCTGGGGGTTCCTTTCTGTTGCAGGAAACATAAGATAACTTCTTTGCTTCAAAGGCAGCTGTTGTCCAACTCTGTAACATTGGTGTTAGGTAGTTAATGAGCGATGCCAGCCTCTATTGCCAACTTGTACAGTTCTTAAGTGAGTACTGTTCTAGCTTTCCCTGGTATAGCAGTTCATGCCTCTGCAGATGTCTGTAAATTATTCTTGGTCATCTCCTTGGCTGCAATCCTTACCAGAAACTCCACAGAAATGCTGCAGGTGTGCCAGTACTGCTTCAGGTTGTGCCAACTCATGTTAACATGGTGTTTTCTTGTAGTCCTACAACTATCCTTGTCCTACTCTTACAGTATTGGTTGTGACTTCAAAGGAGTAGGTGTAGAGCCTTGCATGCTGGTGTCTTGGCAAGTAACAAGGATTTTATGCATAATGTACTACAGCAGGTGGTTCTCCTGTTGGCTTCTCCTGTAGGCAAGATAAAACACAAAAGTCCAGAAAGGTAATTTGCTTGTCTTCTCGGGGGACCTCCATAGACCACTGCAGGTCTCTTTCAGAAGACAGAATCAAATATGTTGGGGCAGGTTGGAATTGGCCAGATGGAAGAGCAGTCATGCTTTCTGTGATGGATCTTTTTTTTTTCCTGGCTATAGCAGATTCCACCTGCTTTGACTAATATGGATGGTTCTTGCAAGAAGTGTGGAAGACTTCAAGACCCAAATCATGTGGGGACTTGCTAGCTGCTGGGATTAGCAGCCTAACTAAACAGTGCTAGACCGCGCTGGCTGTGATAGGCAAGCGGGGTGCTCTTTAAGTCCTGGGAGGCTAGGAAGGGAAGGTTTTAAAGTCTTCTAGGAGTACAAGACTGAATCTGATCTCAAGGTCATTGCTCTGTGGAAAAAAACATCAAAAGCTTGACTGAAATAAAGCACGTGTGCTGCAGAGTTGTCTCTCAAAAAGAAAAGTTGCGAAATAAGAGAGAACTTGCATCCTTGCTCTCTTGAAAGGAAGGCAGCTTCGTTTTAGGTTGGAGACCAGCAGGGTCATTGAGATGGTACAGTATGTGTGGAAATACTCTCCTACATATTGCAGGGATGGTGTGTTTGTCCACATAAGCTCGTTATAAAGTCACCATAGTAGAGAAAGGCCTATTACAACAAAGCCATTGGGATCTATACTCCATAAATGGCTGCAGCTGTTAGTCTGATTAAAGAAATGGCAAATCATTCATTCTTTTAAATGTGAAGTTGTCAGCAGTCCCCATACATCTGCTGCCTCTTACGTTCTGCGATAAAGTGCACGTGGAAAGGTTCCTGATAGCTCCTGGGTCACTCATCATCTGGGATGAGAACCATCTTGGAGAGAGTTCTGCAGCCGCTGCGGTCTGCCCTGCTGGCCTGGCAGGCCTGCACTGTGGAAGCTCCGTCAGTTTTGTCACTGCAAGCCAGAGCCCTGTCTGAAATTAATGAAGGGCAGTGGTGAGGCACAGCCAGGGCTTGGTTGTCAGGTGAAATGTATGGCCTAGTAGTAACAGGGCTGCTTCGGAAACCTAGGAAACAAGATGATGGCTATTGAGCCCTCCTTGGATTAAAGGCAGCGATTCTCCTGTGGCGTGCTTGGCTGGTGAATGGAAGAGGCTGTTTAGTTCTGGTTTTTATTTTCAGACTTAGCGCCTTTCAAAGTAACTCTTTTTTTCCAAGCACTAGGCTGTGAATGTGTGTGTTCCTCTGGGTAAAAAAATACATGCATGGGGTGTTTTTTTTGTTTGGTGTGGTTTCCACCCCCCTCAGCTTATCCTTTCTGGGAGAGTTTCTTGTATAGAACAATGCTGTCTTTAAACTAAATGAAATCGGGCAGTCTGTTCTGTGCCAGACAAAGGGCTGACATTTTTTTATTGGCATCTTTCCGCTGCAGGATGAGTTGGTTTTGAGATGAGTGGACTGCAGGCTGCCTGTGTGAGCTCAAAACGGAGCTTCTCAGGGTTCCTGTTAGAGGCTGGCTCGCTTTCGTAGTGACAGACGCTAGGTGTGCTTGATATGAGGCAAAGCAGACATCAAGGAGATGTGGAGCTCTTGGAACAAGACTTTATTGTTTCTTAAATAGAATCAAGTGTTTTCTGGGTGTGAAACACTGAATTAACTCTTTGTGACTTGCTGTGTCTGTCACTAAAGCTGTGTACTTGCGATGTTCTGCTCTCTTTCAGTGGAGTGAGGGGAAAAAAAGGCCAAAGCATCAGTGTTGCTTTTTACTCTTCCAGTGAACATAACCTGGACCAAAACTGTGTTCTCTTCCACCTTTTAGGCACTTCTGTAAAACCACTTTAAAATCTAAAAACACTTGAAAATCGTGGCTGAGTTAGGGTATCGAACTGTCAGAGCAATATTTCTCAGAGTAAGCGTAGAGCTTAGTCTCCAGCCTAGAGAGCCTCTAGGTTTACTTGCTTCCCATAGATCTGTTTTTAAAACTAACAAGTCTGTTTCAGCAGGTTTCAGAGTACAGCAGGGCGAGCTGGTAACACTTTCCTTGTGCTTTCTTCCCATAGGGATACGCTCCACCGCCAAAAAATGGAATTGAACAGAAGCGACCTGGGCGCCCCTTGAATATAACATCTCTAGTTAGGTTGTCCTCAGCAGTGCCAAACCAGATTTCCATTTCTTGGGCTTCTGAAATTGGAAAGGTAAAAACTGTACGTTCTGTAGGATGTGGAAAGTTGTAATAATAACCTGTAGTAATGACCTGATCTAGCGTTCCTTCTACCCTGCTGCCTGATGTTGCTGGCGAGGCATACACCAGCAAGTGTTTGGTGTTAGGTGGCTGACCTTATCCGTGCCAGGAAACAAAGTTTGCTATAGAAGTGTGGTAGTTTACAGTAACGTATATAAGATTTGCATATGGATGGCAAAGACTTCCTTATAGAACTCGCATGAGAAAGCCTGCCCTTAGGGGTTGCCTGAAATGTGTGTCAAAAATACCTAAATCTGTTTGTGGTATAAATAGTGTGAAAAATGAAATTATGCAGTTCTGTATTCGAAGGCATGTTTCTCAGTATCTGTTGTACCTGTCTGTTGGGGAAAGCTTTTTAAACTGACCAGATGTGCCAGGCTCATGGGGGTGGAAATACGCTTTTTTTTTTAAGTTTTTATTTTTTAACCGAGTAATACTAAGTAGTTTTCCAAAAGCAATTTTTACTTCATAGGAAGAAGCAGTTAATGGATATTTCCATCTCTGTTCTTTTGAGATTCCCTTTTTTACAGGAAAATGGCCTCTCTGTACTTGCAAATAAACCAAAACAGGGGTGGAATTTCCAGCTCGGAAAGCTCTTGGATGGCAGGTTGCTGGGAAGGTTTTACTGGGGAGGTGTGAGGCTGCTGGTGTGAGCTGTTTATGGGCTTGATGGATCTCAGCCATGCTTGGTTGGACCATACATGTGCTCCGTGTGTGTTTGTAATGCAGGGTATCTGAGCAGCGTGGTTTTTTTCTTACAGGTGAAGATCGTTTTGGAAGTTTGGGTGACCTGAGGGAGAAGTGACTCAGTGTGGGGAAGGATGGAGAGCTGGGGGGGAGGGTGTGCGTGGAGAAAGTTGAAGCCCCTTCATAAAGCAATTCTTCATGGAAAGCTGCAGTGGGGGAAAAGCATGCTAGGCTTCAGGAGGCAGGAGATAAAGGGGATGGTGACTGAAATGTGATACCTGTTGCCTTCTAGTGCGTGTAGTCGTTAATTGTAGTTGAAAAGGAATTAGCTTTTAAAATGGCTGCGCTGCTGTGTAGAAATCCCCCGGTGGGTTTACTAAAGAAAGAAAGGGAGGGTGTGGGGAGTTTCTGAATTCTTCCTAGGTTTAAATAGCTGTTTTAGCAGCCCTTTCAACTGTTGGTAAGTCAAGAACTGCTTACTTCTCTGTGACTAGTTGTGTAAATCCTTCTGGATTCAGTTATCAAAGTGGCTTACCTCTTACTTTTTTCTTCCAAGTCAAAATCTGTGGACCAGACACAATGTGTTTCGAAGTGAGACTCCATTATAAGCTTTTATACACTAATATTTAAAAAAATAAATTGGAGAGAAAGTTAATATTCAGAAAATAAATGAAGGGCAGTGCTGACAGCAAAGTGTGTCTGCTTTTTGTTTGTGGTTTTTTTTTCTCCTCTAAAACAGAGGTGGAGGGAAAGGTCTAAGCCGTGCTTGGTTTAACAGGGGTGCTCTGCTCCAAGTATCGGAGCTCGCGTAGCGGCCGTTGCTACCCACCCTCTAAATGAGAGCCTTGGGGACAGCGGGGGTGTCAGTGGGCTCGCGTGGTAAGGGCTTATTGGCGTGTACTTGACTGATAGTGGGGGGCTTCTGAGCAAAGGAGGCATTAAGCCCACAGAGGTGGTCAGACTTGAGCCTATAGAATTCTTTCTTTAGGCAATAAACAGTGCAATGTATGGTTGTTCTTTAAGGGGAAAAAAAAAAAATCAATTTTTTTTGGTGGTTTCCCATGCATTTCGATAACTGCTTCTCTAGGTAAGAGCTCGTTTTCCTACAGGTGGTAAAAGAGGAGCAGGGCAGTAGGTGTTCTTGTTTAAAATTCTTGTGCAGTACTCGGACAGGATAGGAGCCATAAGAAGGTGGCTGGCAGGGAGTGCGAATAAGAGCTGTCGGGTTGTATTTGTTATACAAATGAAACCATTATTATTCTGCAGTAGCGGGACTTGCAGGATTTTCTCTTCATTGACCTTGAAGAGAGTGAATGCTGAACAAAAGAAGCTGGCAAGTGGTGTGAATTAGGGAAGAGTAGTAAATGCTAGGAAACCTGGCCAGCCTCAGAGGAGTGGATGTGGTGTAATGAGGCTTGGCTTAAAAGTGTGGAGCGAGTTAAAGGTACAAAGAAACTGGTGCAGCTGTGTGCCATTTGAAGGTGCTGTGTTAGTACCTGTAAGAGCATTCATCTCCTCTTCTGTCATGTGATTTGTCTTTGAGCTCCCCGCTAACGGGCTGACACTGAAGAAAGGGAAGGATTTAGGAGACAGATGTGAGAAGATCTGAAAGGCTGCATGTATGAGAGGCTGCATGTATGAGAAGGTGTGTCGCCAGTCTAAATCATCTTTCCAAGGAAAGAGCCCAGATTGTCTCTCTGTTGTGGAATGACTCTTCTTGGTTAAGTCACGGCTGGAGTAAAATAATTGGACTTGATTGGCAGGAGAATTCTGGACAGATATTGGATTCTTTTGCAGTAATGAAGTTGTCTGTCAATGATTTTCATAAGTATTAAAGCAGAACATCTGCGTGTTTTTGTTTTTACTGTACGCTACAACTAGTGTAAATAGTAATCTGTTGTCATAGTAGAAGTACTGTGTGAGATCGATATTTAACCTCTAATCACTCTTTTTGTAGAATTACTCCATGTCTGTGTATCTCGTTCGTCAGCTCACTTCAGCTATGCTTTTGCAGAGGTTAAAAATGAAAGGTATCCGAAACCCCGATCATTCCAGAGCACTAAGTAAGTCCGATTAATTTGCCTGTCTGCACTTTCGGAGGGTGGTTGGTGGCTCTTTAAACTGGTAATACATGAGGAATTTGCAGCAGTTTTGAAAAGAAAGTCTGTGCCCAAGGTATCAAAGGTGCTGTGGCTGAGGCATCACGCGTATTTTCAGTGAGGGTCCCCGAGCCGGTAGGGAGGCACACCTAGAGATCCCACCTGGAATGTTCTTAGGGAATGCCGTGAGCACCACTTACTGTGGTGGGCTGTGAGGTGCAGGTAGATGCCCTGAGTATGGGTTCTACTCACTTGCATGCGATGCCGATTGTCTTGTCTTTGTACCTCGCTCGCTGAGGTGTTTGTGTTCAGTTTTGGGCCCCTCACTACAAGAAGGATGTTGCATTGCTGGAACATGTCCAGAGGAGAGCAACCAAGCTGGGGAGGGGTCTGGAGCACAAGTCATACGAGGAACGGCTGAGGGAACTGGGGTTGTTTAGTCTGGAGCAGAGGAGGCTGAGGGGAGACCTGATCGCCCTCTACAACTACCTGAAAGGAGGCTGTAGGGAGGTGGGGGTCGGCCTCTGCTCCCTGGTAACAGATGATAGGACGAGGGGGAATGGTTTGAAGCTGCGCCAGGGCAGGTTTAGGTTAGATATTAGGAAAAACTTCTTCACTGAAAGGGTTGTCAGGCTCTGGAATGGGCTGCCCAGGGAGGTGGTAGAGTCCCCATCCTTGGAGGTATTTAAAAGAAGGATAGATGAGGTGCTTAGGGATATGGTTTAGTGGTGGGATGGCAGGGTTAGGTTAACGGTTGGACTCGATGATCTTAAAGGTCTTTTCCAACCAAAGCGATTCTACGATTCTATGATTCTGATGATGATTTTATTGATCTCTTCGCACGTCGGGTTGAGTTTGCCCTGCTAACCATTGTGGCTGTTAGCGCGTCTGCCGTGCACCCAGCAACCTCGTGATGCCCAGTGTTTGCCAGTCGCTTCTAAATACTGAAACTATAGTTTGATACTGCTGTGAACTAGTTTTCTAGACGTTTACATTTTTTCTGAATAGCTGGAAATAAAGTAAGTCGCAAATCAAGATTAGTGTTTTAAATACCGATGTCTGTGTATAACTTGTTAATTTATTTTAATAGTTAAAGAAAAACTAACTGCAGATCCTGATAGTGAGATTGCCACGACCAGTCTGCGGGTATCTCTGATGTGTCCTGTAAGTATGGCTGGAAACTACCATACACAGGTTTGGGTGTTCATCTTTAGCGTGGAGCTGGGCTGGCTTTAAAAGGTCCTGCCTTAGGAACTTAAGTGGCTTTGGGTTTATATGGGTTCATGAATACAAAGTAGTGGGTGGAAGGTGCATCTGCAGGCACCCGAATGTAGCAGCGTTCAAACGATGACGGTTTAGAACTGTGGATGCCTCAGCTGTAACACAGTCAGACTCGAGTCGCTGCTCGTGTGTGCATAGCGAGGTCTTTAGCAGGAGTAATCTCATATACTGAGGCATTCCAGGCTAATTGGGCAGGGTGACAGCATAATTAAATGGCACAGTAATAAATAAAACTTTGGATCTCTTCATCTTAGGTGGTATTGCTTATACTGCCAGCTACTATAACAAACAAAAAGCCGGATCACCGCCTAGCAAGGTCACGCTGCCTTGGGGTTTCTCTTTCCCAGGTGGAAACTGGCCTCGTGTCAGTGACGGGTCTGTGAAGTCAAATGTTAAAATGGGTATAACGCCGTTCTGAGTCTGGCGTAACTGGAGCTCACACAAACGCTTGAAACGTTTGGCTAAGAGAAAATCGATCAAGCGGGTGCTCAGCCGGTCTTTCAGTAAAAATGAAATCCTGGAAATAACATGGATGCAGTTCCATTTAGAAATGTTTCTGAGTCTTTTCAAGTCGGTGAAGACTTTGAGGATGACGTTAATGTTCTCCGGGTGCACCGTACGTGCTTTGGTAGGGCGGATTTGCCTTGCAGCGACCTCTGCGCTGGGCGCCTCTGTAGCGAGGAGAGGCAGTTACTCCACCGAGAGCCTCCCGATTTCGTTGTTAGCCATCCAGGCCTACTTCACTGTCTCTGTTCTGACGCTCTTTTAAATGCATCTCCTGCAGCTGGGAAAAATGAGACTGACAATCCCGTGCCGGGCTGTTACTTGCACACACCTGCAATGTTTTGATGCTGCTCTTTATCTCCAAATGAATGAAAAGAAGCCTACCTGGATCTGCCCTGTCTGTGACAAAAAGGCAGCTTACGAGAGCCTAATATTAGATGGGTAAGAGACTGCATTTGCAGATTACACAATTACTGAAAAATCTTTCATGGCGTAGTTGATAGCTGCTGTTGTGACTTGAGGTTCAGCCATTTCACACTGTTTTCTCTTTCAAAATACTTTCGACTGGGAGGAACCATTAGACTCTGTTAGTTTCTTTTCCCATTTCATGAACTACGTAAGTTTATTTCCTAACTGCATCATCAAACTCTTGAGCCTCAGTAGGTTTTCTCTGGAGAAACGCAAATGCGGCATCTAAGGATAGGTCTCCTTTTTATGTGACCCTATTTCTGAAGCTATTGGCTTTAAACTTTAACACATAAACAAGTGTCAGACTTGATTTAAAGGATGGTGATTTCTGCTTCTGTATGGAAATCTGTGAATTGCATTAATGTCGGGGCGGAATGTGGGTAGGTTGGGATACTCGTTTAGGTTTCAACGTCTGCAAAGGCTGTAATTACAGGCTCTCGGGTAAGGTGAGCTAGGGAGAGAGAGTACATAGAGTACATAGAATCACAGAATCGTTTAGGTTGGAAAAGCCCTTTAAG